GGTCAAAGAGAACAGCCAACCGTCAGTTGATTCAGATAACGAGTTTGGAAGCAGAGAACAAGCTCCTCGATGAGCTTGCACGCGGCGCTTCGCCTGCCACCCGAGCTCTTTCCCAATTGATTCATGCTGCGCGCTTCAACTTTGCGTCCAAGTCCCTACATCAAGTGTGTCCAATCCTTTTTGAGGTGCTTCTCAATATGCTTCATGTTTCTCTGATAGCTTTCGCGTGCCATGTCCATCGAGTGCCCCATCCAGTTACACTTTTGTCGCAGTTCTGCCTTTGTGAGATCCGGACTAAGCTCGGTGTGTGAGATATGGCGGAGCAATGTGCAGGAAAGCTGCTTATCAAAGTGTCGAAGGCCGAGATCACGAAATACAGCCGCCATGTTTGAAATGCGCTCGTCTTTGAAATCGAGGTATGAACGTTTCAGTAGAAGGTACGTTCGGGGAACGAGATTGAGTGATCTCAAGATCATGTTCAGCATGTCAAGCGGCACTTGATGTTTGCGAATGTCAAGTGTTGATAGGTTTTTGTGCTGACATATGTAGAAATAGCACCGCGCCTTATCTGAGCCGTGCATGTACACGTAGTTCTCTTTGCCTCTCGCATTTCTGAGTAGTGTAGACAAGTCGTCTGTTTCGTCTGCATGTACAACTTTGCAGTTAGCAAGCTCGTTTCGCATAGGTCCAAGCCCCATTGTGTACAGTGCTAGGATCAGATGATCGTTAATGAGCTGTTTGTTTTCAAAGTTGAGTGGTTTCTAAGCATAATACTTGGGGACGACCAAGGCTTCAAGCTGCCGGTTAAGCTTTTCCCTTAGCTCCACAATATCCTTCCAATTGACCCAATTTGTTCATTCCTTCTCAGTAGGTACCTGATGCTGAGCATCTGCCTCCTCAATGGTCGGCTTTTGCTGTCTGCTGTACTCGGAGTATGCCTCATATGCGTCATGATAACCTAGAAGCTTTGCAAGAACGATGAAGCCCGCAACGAAATTTGCTTTCGTCAGCTTCTTTATTGGTAGATCGTTCACGATTTCAATGACCAAGTCATGATCATCAATCCAATTAAGGTCCACCATCTCATAATTGCTAGGAAACATGTGCTGAAAAACCTGGCGGATTTGGCGGATGTAGGTCTTTACTGTACTATCAGTGCGCTCTTTGGGTCGACCAAAGATATCTTCCGGCTTGACCTTTAACATATCATATAAGCGTTGATCCATGTTTCCATCTGAAGGTACCTTAGATAACGTTAGGAAAAAATCCTCAAAGGTTCGTCAAGTTCACTCTTCTGCCATCCCGTTCCATCTGAGAACAAAACATGCTGTAATTTGAGCTTGACATGGCTTTGGTTGGATCAGATAGCGATGAAATCAAAAACGGACGAGGAAACAACCTGAGCGACTTATGAACATACTTCGAGAATGGTCGGTTATCGGATGGCATTTACCATTGATAACAAGAGTATGCTTCTTATGCGAGAGCTCAACGATAGCACATGCGACCTTCTGTGCTTCACTTATGCTTTCAACAATTAGCAGCTCATAAAGCAGTACCTTTTTTCTCACATCTTCTGAGATGTGCGTATGAAACAGGAGTATCATCTGGCGCATGATAGACTTGACATCGTTGACATCGTATTCTTCCTGGTCAAACGGGATATGCCGAACCTTGCGCGAAATGCGTTCAATGTAGTCCTTGACTTCTTCCTTTGACATTTCGTCGCTGGTTTCATGTTTCCGTACCTCTATGTGTTTTTTCAACGACCCGGCTTGTGACTGAAAAGCTTTCAAATAGCGTTTGTATGCAGCGACGTACTCAAGTTTCTTACAAGCGGCCAAAAATGGGCCAAGGCGCGTTCGTATGGAGGCTGGTTGTGTGTATCGTGCATGTATTTCTTGGACTATGGCGTCTGGACGTTCGTCGATCCACTCTAGTTGATCTGGAACCGGGTCTTTTGAAATTAATCGCCACACAAAGAGAAGGGCTTTAGCATACTGCTCTGCCGATTTCTTGCTACGAATTCCGTCATTGAAGAACCTACGGACCCGATCTGCCCCCTTGCAATCCATGTTCTTGACTAGAGGCTGGTATGCACAGCATATAAGTGTAGGGAGAAAATAATTCCTGAGAATTGGATCCAGACGAACATGTGCAATGGACATGCCGCTTGAAGCCTGAAGGTTGGGCCCAACAGCTTGTCACAAAATCCGGCGCTTTCACGAAAAGCACAAGCTGGGAGAACCAAGCCTGAGTTGTGCAACCGCTCAGCGGCTTCCAACTTCAACGCTTGGCGCGCATCTCAATTAAGTATCGATTGCATCAGGATCGACCCAACATTGCCGATGTTTACAAACATTAGCCAACTTCAGGATGTGGATCCGGGTTATCTATAGAGAAGGCATCAGGATTGACTCAACAGTGCTGATGCTTTGAGAGACTTCAAGATGTGGATCCGAGTTATCTTTGGATAACTCATAACTGCCTGAGAACCCTGTTAAAACATGGTCAGATAATTCATTTACCATTGTCACGTTTTTTTGACGAAAACTGACGGATGGAAGCTATATCCCGTGAAAAACCCTCTTGCAGGGTGCAATTCAAATATGTGATTCAAAACCCCGGGTTTTTGACTTTTATAATCAGATAATTCAATCGAGCATGTCACGTTTTCCCGCTTGCTAGGCAGTGGCAATGCGTTTACAACTGTCATGTCATTTTGTCAGGGGCTCTGGCAGGCATGGGGTCTAGTAGGACATGGCGCGCACAAGTGATCGTGAACCGTGGTATATCGAGCAATGAAGAACATCTGAAACCATACAACGCTCGGACGGTTATAAACTTGGATCGATAACCACGGCCCAGCTACCTCCGTACTGCTTTGAAATTGCCTGTAGATCTACCCTGCGCTATGATATCTAAACACGTGCCGGAGCGAAGCATGAAGTAATCAACACTTTGTATCTGGGACAGACTTTGATTGATCCTTTTCAATGAACCGTTTACCATTTCAGCACTTGGCGTCTTTGTTGTCCCGTGCGTTCTGTTAAACGTGTCAATATGGAATCCCTGGGGGCACGAATGGATCGGAGCTGGCTCCTTTCCAGAATGCATCCGGTCTAGGACGCAAAGGAGGAATTTTCCAAGGCCTGGTATCCGGTCGAGAATGTACTCGTACAGTTTGCAGCTGCAATGAAAGCGGAATTGAGTGTGTTTCGAAAGCGTTTGAACAGAGATCGAAGGTCCTCTTAAGGGCTCGAACTATGATGGTCAAAACGTCACTCATGTTGCATTTACTTACTGCTCTTGAACTAATCAGGCATTTGCAAGCAAGGACAGTGGTAGTAAGTTACTCTGATTGGACCTACGTACGTGCTCTCTAGCAACCTGCAAAGGATGCGTCGACACGTACAAACCGTTGTTCCTCTTTCAAGGCTCACCTGTTGTCGTAGATGATGGTCAACCCTTTGAGCTGCTCGAACGAATAGAGTGTAACCAATAGCGTGAATAGATCCGAAACGCTCTCCCCACCCACCATGTAGTGAAACCCTGCGCAATCAGTGTGACAAGTTGCGTTAGCTGATCAGCAAACGTTGATCGAAGCCGGTGCATTACTATTGATGGCTATGAGTATAGTATCTTGAATCAACGTACTGACCAGGCGGTTTGATCATGGACATTCAAAGCGTGCTTTCAAATGACAACGTAGATCAGAGCAATTGCTTACCTATCACGTACCCATCCGGGCAGCAGATAAGGAATAAGCCGGCCATGCCCTTTAGTTTCACGAGGTCCGAACGGACCCCGTTGCATTTAATATCCTCTCTCCGGGATTTGGAGTAGCCGTCCGGTCCTTCAAAATCTGGAAAGTGGGGCCGCATCCACTTGGGCAATTGGCCATGGGGGTAGAAGCCCACGAGAGATGCTCGACGCTGGTATTCTGGCGTAGCCGGCATGGTGCCGATTTCGGACGGAAGCTTGATCTCCAAAGGAGCAAGAGCCTCGGTTGCCGACTCCAACGCTGCGACCACCTTCTCTGTGGCACGAGACACCGACAGGCGTAGATTGGCAACCACGGTGCCGTCACCACCAGCCTCCGTTAGAAGACGATATTGCAGCGCCCGCTCAAGCCGCCCCTTTTGAACGATGCACTCGAAAGCATCCACCAACTTACGGAGGGGGGATTGTCCCTCAGCTGTGCAACGATTACTGGAAGGCTCGAACGACACCATGGCGGTGCAGTAGAGGTCTCGGAGCACAGGAAGGAACGACTGCTCAAATAGCAACTCGTCGGGTTTGCTGTGGGGATCGGGGTAGCTTCGTAATATGGCCCCAATCAAAGGCGCATCACGCTCCAGATGTCGCAGCTCTGTGCTCGTAATCGTCCCCCCAAGAAGCGCCTTGCGGGTGATCTTGAGGCTGTTAACCCGCAGAAGCTGGGCCCGAGAGTGGTCCGAGCCTAACAGAGTGCTGATCAGCACAGAATAGTGGAAAAAGTGGTCGTGCGCCCAACCCATGCGCGACAGCTCTCCACTAGCCTCCCGGAGTGGGCCCCGGTATTTTCCCATCCACTTCCGCTGTACGACACCCCTGCATATAGAGCAGGAGAGTCCGCCGGCACAATTCGGTGGATCAATGAGCAACCTTGTCACAAGCCCCTTAAAGCTCTCCGGTAACGAGTTGTACATCTTGTCGAACTGATCTGGAGTAAGCGGTTGGTTGCCGGCTGCATTTGCTGACGAGGGGATATGACGGTCGTTGGCCCACAGCTTGACGAGCAGCCGATTATCGTTGGGAATCCGCACAAACGTGCGGCTAGTGTATGGAACATCCACTGTTTGCTGGGGAGGTGCTTGCGCCGGGGGCATTCTTGGAGTAGTATGGTTTGTGAAGATGGGGGAGTCGGGGGTGGGGTGGCTAAGGCTTCGAATGCTCCCCAGGCAAGAATCGCGGACCACTGAGGAATTGGAAAACAAAGTTCCGTCCCCCACGATCGCTTTTCCAGTCAGAGCAAAGTCGTCATATTCGCTCCGACCCTCTCGGCTCACCAAAGACGTGGATTCCAGATCCGCCGCTCGTCCAAATAGGCCACTGCATAGCTGGCTGGAGCAACAATACGCCAAGTCCCGGGCCGCAGATACGTTGAAGGCTCGGATAGCCCTGTCAAAGTTCGAGTCCCCAACGGGAGGAGGATGGGAGGCCCCCGGGACTGCAAGGAGAGCAGACGCCTGCTTCTCTACCATATGGTAGGACTGAAACGTGGCCCCCTGGGCATTTTGAAGATGGGGAATAACAATTGCCTCATAGAGGAAAAGACTTTCGGAGGTGTACGCGTAAACCCCATCTTCTCGGCCCGAGTATGAAAGCGTGCAGCAACCCCCCTGACAGATCAGCTTTCGCCTCTCAATCTGGATCGCACTTCGGCCCCCTCCACAATATACCGTGGCCATCGAGCTCTTCACCACCCATGGCAAACTGCATGCGCGCCCTGAGCCCTGCGCTTTCTCTCGAGGCGCAGAGAAAAGCCTCTGTTCCGACCGCGCTGCCCACTCAGCGTCACTCCATTCGCCCGCCGGACCCGCACACCCCCCCAGTGACAGCGTGTCGACTGCCTGCCAGTGGTCGGCTCTATATTGATTTCGTCGACGCTCGCTTGATGGGCACTCCCACTCTTCTCCTGCGTGATCCGGCTTGCTACACGGTTGCGATCCAGGGGCGGACGCTCGACACACCGGATCGTTGCAGACGAGGATTCGGGGGTAGGGGCCTCCTCGCAGCGCAATTACTCTATCGTGGCTTGTATGGACAGGAGCCATGCCAGCTTGCTACCCCCCCGTTGTTTCTCCCAAAGGAGGCACTGCTGCCGCCAAGCCGTCTTTTCCCTCTGGTTCCACTCCCCTGCCGATTTCGGGCATGGCCGTCGTCGGCTCGACCGTCACCCCTCCAACAATAGTTGTCCTGTGTTCGCGGCTTGTGGGCGAGCTTCTTTGAAACCCCTACTCAGCCGTAGAACCTCTGAAAAAGCCCCCTCGACTTTGTCAAAGTGCTCACAGCAAAAGCTTTCGGTCCGAAGCTTCGCTTGAATAGCCTTTTGGCACCGGGGATCCGAGCAGAACCATGCTGACATCGGATCAGAGCCTGCGCTTCCGTCCCACAAACCGACCGCTTCTTTATACCGCCCTTTGACCTCCGCCCGCACCACAAACAAACTCGATTTTGGGCCCAAGGAAGGACGTAGCAAAATCGGGTGACTCCTTCTGCAAGTTTCTCCGCTTGTCCAGGTATATGCAGCCGTCCGTTTGAGGTTGGACAACCCGCAAAACCTCCAGCTCAGTACAATACTCGTCGAAGCACTCCTCGATATCCAAAAAGGAAGCCGCGGCGTTTGTGCACCCAGCCTGCTTCAGACGAGTCTGCAGGTGCTTAGTGACAGAGCGTGTGTGCTCGCACTGCACAGCGCTTCGATGGCCGGAACAATGGCTGCAGCGTATCGTTCCACAGTTGTCGAGGTAGACCAAGCGGGGAATGTTGCGCGGCTTCCCGGAGGTAGACTGGTAGGTAAGCTCCCTCTTTGATGAGTCAGGAACCAACCAGCATCCTGGTGCAAGTTTGCGGAGTGAGAGAAGCCGCATATCAACCGGCAGGTCCTGCGGAAATGGAAGCAACAAGTGGCCTTCAGCGTCAAAATGTTCATTCAGAAGACAATTCAGAGTCGCAATGTAGGCCCGCTTGGACTCACCGCAGGGTTAGGCCGGCCAGCCTGTATCCCGGATGGCGTTCCTTCCATGTTCACAATTGCTGTGAGCGACATTGGGATGCCCGATTGGGAAACTTGAACCAGAGTCACTTGCCGATGCAGAGCCATAAGAGCAATTCCGAGTTGGAGCCCCCGGAACCGGGCGCATAAACGTTGGCAAGCGTTGTAACAGTGTGACATTTGCAATGTCCAGGTAGACCTTGAACTTGATCTTCTCACCTCTTCCTCCACCCTTGTCCGAGCTCGCTGCTTCCTGGGCTGGATCGAGCTTTCGTCCCTCTCTCTTTGCTCTGCTTTCCGTTTACCCTCACACCGTTGCTTGTTCTGCTCAAACTTCCGCATCGGAAGCCCCTTGCACTTCCAGCAGCCAACCAGATCCCGGCGCTGGAAGCAGAAAGTGCCCCCTGCATCATGTGGGATCAGTTCAAACACCCCAGCAACCGGAACCGGTTCGCCTGTCTGTGTATGGAGTGGCCCATGCTCGTTGCTGAGCTTGTCAAGGCACTTTAAGCAGAACGCGTGGTTCCCTTGCTCGCATATGTATGCCCCGTATAGGTTCTCCTTGAAATTGTATGGATAGTTCCTGCTACTGTGAATCTCCTTGCCACACCTGTTGCAGGTTTGCCGGAGCCCACCTTTGCTGACATTGGGCCGAATCCATGCGTCGCTGTGATATAGGGTGTGGACAAGACCAAAGTCCAGGTAGAAGTGACTAGGCTCGAGGTTCCCAGGCATTGAATAGTTTGCCCGTGGTTGAAATGGGGGAATGGCTGCCGGTACTTGTACTACCCGCGCACTTAAGCCATTGACGGGACCCAGCGCTGAGACTTGCCCAACGCAGCCTATGGTGCGAACTATTGCCCCTTTACCCAACAGGTTCTCTCCCTCATGCCAATGACGGCTGCTTTCAAGAGTGCTGTCCACAATCAGCACGTTGGGCGCTCCTCCTTCCATTCCTGCAGTTGAACCTTTGTAACCACTCATAGCAAGTCGATCCGAAGCAGCGCAGACGACTGGGTTTGGGATTGTCTTGCACACCGTTACCAGAGGCTCGCAGTTTGTGGAGGAAATGCTGAGAATGGCTACCAGAAGAAGCAATGCAATGGGCAAGCTGTCTTGGATGACTATGGAATACCTTCTGGCGCCCATCTTCTCTTTCCTAAGTGTAGATTGTGATTCCATCTCGTTCCACTTTTGGGTGACTCGTAGGAAACTAATATGGTAGAAAAACATGTCCGGCCTAGTCATTCGAGCAATGTTCGTCAAGATTCGGAGAGCTTCGGAGTTACGATGCTCGAAGTATAGCCGTCCGATGGAACAACACGGACACTATCGGACCGTTGGATGCAAGTTTAAAGGGAGTAAAAAGTTCCTTAAGTGAACTCTTTTGTATATTAAAGAGGATTTTACTCCCCGTCTGTTCAAGTTTCCTTCCAACGTCTGGAGCTGTTTTTTGCGGATATGTCACTGGAATCTTGTTCCATGCCACGCAATTGGCCCCCCAGCTTAAGCGCGCTTGTCCCAAGGCTCAAAGAGAGTGTCGATTGCGGCTCAAAGATCGTTTTTGTCGTTGAGCGAGTCGTTGGTGAACCTCAAGCTTGCTTGCCGTAGGCAAACTGGTCGGTTGTCCAGTTCATTCTAAGTTGGTCCATATTGGTCAACCGGTTGCGCGAAGCTTCACATAGTAAAGTAGGACCTTTTGTAACCTATGAAGCAGCCCAGAGTTGAAGCAGATCAAGAGTCAGACCGTCGAAAGCAGAAGACTGAGACACCATCGATGCCCCCAAGCATAGTCCGGTCTGAAAGCGTGAAGAAACATTGGATGAAGACAGCCCACGTCAGACACCGCTGGTCCACATTATATGGCCAGAGGCCAAAAGGGGACATCAGGGGAGAGACGGGTTCAAGTGGTGGACCACTGATTGTCGAATTTGAGGTGACTAGCCCGCAGCCACATGGATTAATGGTCCTTTACCTAGGCGATCTGTTTGCCAGTGAATCCGGCGGTTCCAAGATCAGGAAGACGGATGAGACGGCCTCCAGAATCAGCATCCTCGATCACAGTGGCCCGTTTTCTATCGGATGGAAACTTGTCGGGGATCTCCTCTTGCGTGGACAACCAAAATGTAGGGTCAGAAGTCCAGGGCTTTATCCTGGACTTCGTTAAACCTTCTTGTCGAGGGCAAAGGGAGACAAAACCCAGCTCATACGTTGGCAAAGTTGGTTACAAAGATTGATGAGGAGGTCGTAAGAAAAAAGTTACAGCCTCCATAAATTACCTAGTCCGGCGGACAGCGTGCGACACCTGCGACAAAGCCCAGGGCGTGGTGCACATCATCAACAATTTCGGTGGGCCACGTACGACTGCACATGGCTGCATCACGAGCAAGCCGTCGTGAGTTGTTTTGATTGTGGGTTGTTTTGGATCGACGTCACTCGAGTGGCCCCGGCGACCCAGCCGTTTGTGTCCTGCAAGGGTGGATCATTGGTCCGGTCTAGTTAAAGAGTTAAAGAGTCATTGGCAGTGGGTAGGGAGTAAAAAGTTCCTGAGTTGAAATCATCCTTATAGTTCTTTAGGAACTTTTCCCTCCCTCTTTTGAGCGAGGTCATAGAATTTTTCTAAGACCTCTCTATCAATCATTGCAACCATCTTGCGGCCCACGTACCAGTTGGGGGTAGTATGGGGGATGGCACTGCCAAGGATTTTGGGTGGGCGCAAGTGCTCAGATGCGCGCGGACCGGCTGGAACGTTTTGGATAGGAAGAACTTCCAAACTTCCGAGTGTCCTGCCTGGGCAGAGGCGGGCAAGTTCCGCGGGGGCTGCACTGATGGACTGCCCGCAACGTCCACCGGCCCGCCCATCACTGCCAGTCAAACAGCAGGCTGACTTTCAAGTTCGGCCCAGTCGATTTACTTTAGTACTCACTGCAATACTGCTCAAGGCTGAGCTCACTGGCAGTGGCCTATATATACTAAGGCAGACTACGCAGGGTCAGGCATCAACTCCTTGAAACAAAGCCTCGGGTGCAAGCCGGTGTGAGGGAAGTATATGACAGGGGACCGTCGGGAGTAAAAACATCCTGAGCTGACTCATTGTTATACTTTAGGAGACTTTTTGCTCCCAGTCTCAAGGGTCGGGAGTAAAAAACCTTCGAGATCATTCATTTGCTATACTTTGAAGGACTTTTTCCTCCCACTTCTGGTGATGCCGCATCTCTTGTACAAAGCCTCACTTGTTCTTTCGGCTCAGTATGAACAGAAATGCTTCCGGACTTGAGAACGTACAGCTCAAGATTTCGCTCTCAGGCTAGCGCCCGGTAGCTTCCAAGGATCGTCAACTGGGGCAGGCATGTCAAGCAGACTCCTCGGAACTGAAGTCTACCATTTCCTATCTAGGCTACGAGTTTAATTCAGACCATCTCACGCACCCTAGGCTTTTTCTTTCATCTCTCAGACTCGGACCTAAGCCTCATGTAAGCTTTGGATGGATATCCCGGGCGGCTGATTGAAGCTTCAATTGAAGTTGGTGATTCCGGCCTATACACCTATACGTATTCACGCTAGCTCGTTGTTGATGTGCAACTCATGATCAGTGGTAGCTCAGTGGGTCCGAAGTTGGGTCCCTTGTTTGCATAAGTTGATGAGCACTGAGATCATATTAGCTGCGTTCTACTTGAGGCCGCTCTGACCCACTGGACCCCGGCAGTACTTGGATACTTGGCCTGGTGGCCCGGGAGATGGGGAGAGTGGGCATTTCAGAGTTTGGTCGGACGCTGCTCAAGTGTTGGACCTAAGCTTGCGAGCGTGGGTGTGGGCAGCTGGGGCTCAGCTACGTACGGTCGGTCAAATCCAAGTTGTCCGATCTGAGCTGCTCCAGTCCACCAGTTCTCCATGCAGTAGTACAAGCCAGCAAGCCCCTAGTGCAGTCAGTGGGCCAGAGTGGGCCAGCTTGTGCAGAGTGGGCCAGCTCCTGCAGAGGCTGGGAGTAAAAACTTTCCGAGATTAATTGTTTTCATATGTAAAAGGGACTTTTTACTCCCATTTCAATGATTTCATCCTGGTTTGTTGGTTTGTTGCTATGTCAGTGACACCATGCCGCTGCGCGTCCAACTTTCTTGACCGTCAGTGCAAACCCCAGCTGATACGTGGGCACTGAGCTGGGGCTCAGCAGTGGGTCGGTAAAGTCCTAGTTGTCTGAGCTGCCCCAAATCCACCAGTGGGCCTCCGAACCGTTCCGAAGCAGTACCGTACAATCCCTCAGTGCAGTCAGTAGGCCAGGCTGTGAAGGCTGCGAGTAAAAACCTGCCGAAAGTTAACCGTTTTCATATGTTAAAAGGGACTTTTTACTCCCAGTTCACTACAGACGTTCGATGCTACAGTGACACCACGCTATGCCGTTCGATTTTCTCGCGCGAGCGTTTCAATTGATGGGGCTTCCGTTGCTCATAGCCGTCGGATGAAACTCTGTAGATCGCGAACCATCGTCGATGATTTTACCTATAAGCTATGAGTAGTTATCATAGGCTCTACACAGGCGTCGTACGCTATAAGCGAGCTCGGGGATACTGGGTGTTGGTACGCCACCAAATTTACGAAACTCGGACCAACGTATTTTCAGGACCGGCAGTCGCCGTCGATTAGACCACTGAACCCTTGAGAAGGCGAATCTTGGGTCCACCAACTGAAGAATGGCATAAAATGGACGGCCAGGGATCCCCTCGGGAAAAATAGACGGCGAGGGGAGCTTGGAAACGATATAGCGGCACGTTTGACGCTATTCTGGTACCGTATGAGTACCTTAGGTATAGTGGACAGCCTGGGCTTATACTGTGGACGTGGCTGTGGACGTCATGTGGACGGTCGAACCGGGGTACGTACGGGAAAGTACCTCGCGCGCGATACTTGGAAGATTTGAAAACAGCCAACGGTTATTCTATGTGCTGTTTCACCGGGCACAAACTTAAGCACAAAGCAGACTCCTAGCAGATATACAGACTGCCCGGTGATTAACGGATGTTGGGAGGCAGTCTTACAGGTCTTGTTTGCAGACTGGCGAAGATAGAGAAAAAAGGACAAGTGTCGGCAGTCTAGTGTGCCGCACATACTAGGAATTATAAGTTGAACTAGCCCTGATAAGACTCAGAGTGGTTTCGGCATTGCGGTAGGTACCCGGTCCTGCGGCCTGCCTGCATTTCCTGGTACAAAGCGAGCTGATTCGGACCTCGGTGCGTACCGGCCTACTTCAAAATTGAAAAGTAAACATTTTCCAGCTTGCAGTCAACAATAATAGTGAATAGTAAATACCTTCTGGATACAAAGATCCTGATGTATCGGGGATGTATTTTGTTAAGTTTTAAGCAATTTGTAAACAAATCCCCCGATTATTCGCTAAAAAGAACCCTCTGGTTCCGAGAGCGATTTATTCTTTGTTGAACATGATAAAATGGTAAAAGAGGGTCTTGTAAGATCAGCCAAAATTTGCACCTTTCAAAGGTAATATACTGAATCTTACATCGGATCACCCACAGAAACCCCAACAATCGAACTAAAAACCCCAGTGTACGGCAGCGGCACGAGCAGACTGAGTTCACTGCACGGCGGCCTGAGCGCGTGGTGAAAAGTCGTTCAAGTCCTCCACTCTAAAGGTACCCGTCCACGGTTCTGCCATGAAATTAAGGTACCTGTCCTCCGGGCCTCCAATTGAGCAGCAAATTTGAGGTACCTGTCCACAAATACCACACGAATTTAAGGTACCTGTCCACGGACAATTGAATTGTGCAGACTCAAAACGTTATCTTGTGGACACCAACATTTGGACTTCACCAAATCCAGCAAGGGCGAAAGGGACTCGTTCCGCCTCCAGCGACCAGCAAAGTGACTCTATTGCCAAGTTGGTCGCTTGAAACAAGTTCCGCAATCCAATATGGTCCGTTGGATGATCTGCTGCCTCACAATCGACGATTCTTAGCGACCGCGTCAACTTCCGAAATCTAACTTCACGGTGCAGTCACGGCGGTATTCATCGCTGCCGCGCCGGATCCTGGCGCGGCAGCAGGCCGGCGGCTAGCTCGACGCGCTAGCACGCGCGGACATGTACACCAGGGCCCGGGCACAGCGTGACATGGTCATGGGCCATGAGAGCATAAGTACTTGAGCTGTTCCGAAGTTCAGCTACCCGCATACAATATGAATAGCAGAGCCGGCAGCACTCTCACGGAACTCTCACCACTTGCAGTGCGATTTCCAAGCCAGCGTTGCTGCATTACTGCATGCATGTTTCTAACCGCTCACATATAACAGAATGCACAATTCAATTGTGCAGTGTCCGGACTCAGTGGTCCCATTATAGACAATTCGATCGCGCACTGTTTTTTATGACATAACAAATCAGTAACTATATTCTAGTTTCGCATCATGTCACCGCGTGGCTGCGCCATGCAGTGCATGCGCGCATAGTGGCGGAGAAACTCTCGCCAGTCAACTGACATAATTGACAGACCGCGGCGATTGCATGCAACCAAACATGAGGCGGCTTTGTTACATCGCTTTGACAACATGATGCAATCATATGCAACATAATCACCAAACATCGTGGATGGCCCGTACGGTACTAATAGTGAAACATGATAGCGACGCATACAAAAACTTCAAACTAGTGGGAGACCGTTCCATGTTGAAGCCGTTCAAAACATAATAACTTTCCAATGTCACCCTGAGTTCGGCCCATATAGCAAGCAAGATCATCCCGCTTTCAATACCCAAAATATAACAATCTTCAGCAGTCCATTTCCTCGCCAGTTGGCCAAAACTTGAATAATCCCAAGTCACTGAGCCTTCTACGAGAGTATCATAGAACCCTTGGGGAACCCTTGTTTGGAGCAGAAAAAGGAACCGCTTTGCTAGAATGGAAGAAAGTTTTCCTACTTCTCAAGCAAACCTCGTTATGGAAATCCAGTCCATGGCCCAACCACTTGGATCACGTTTGCCGTCAGCCCTGGCTCGCAAGCTTCGACCATGGCCTGATGCTCTTCGTTCAAGAAGTGCACGGTCAGTGGACGCCTGTAGTCAAGGACGCCAAACGACGGGACGTTGTCAGCACCGCTTGCTTTGCGTTCCAATCAAACGAACGTGATCTATTTCTCCGCTTAGAATCCTGGAGCACTCAAACTCGGAAGGGCTCCTGGAAACTCCGGACACATCCATAACGTACTCATGCGTGAGCATGAGCTGCTAAACAAGCTGCTCATGAGAACCCTAGTTAGCGTAATTACCGGAAGGCCCTTCCAACATTTGCGATAGCGTCACAGAAAGTTCCACGTGCCTTGGTGCAGTTGGAACAACTTTCAACTCACAAACCGAAGGCAGAAAGAGGGTTTAACTCAGTCCAGATTCACAAGGTCCAGCTTCAACGCGAAGAGCTGGTCCGAAACTTCAATATGCATATTCTGAGCGCTCCCCAAGTGACTGCAATCACCTTCAAGAACACACCTTGTCCACTCCGGTCGGTTGAGCATGATCGCAAGGATGCGCAGCTTTCCCGCCACACCGGAAAGAAGTTGCCGGCGCGTGAGGTTGGAGACGGCACGGCGTACATCTCGGCTATAGGATCGTGGATACTGCCAGACTCTCTCGAACTGCAAAAAGAGAACGCAGCAAAGACTGTTCAGAACCTTCCCCATGAATAAGTGTTGCTTCAAAATTGACACCCAGAAAGCTTCCTTTCACGGGCTCAGCAAAATTCAAGGACACTTTAAGGTGAATGCCTACTTCATCTGAGCACATATGCTGTTGCCCCTTGATTGGTTCAGTTTAAAAGCTGGATACAATCTGACGCGGCTTTGCATCTCTCATGTCTGACTTAGGCCCCATAGCGAAACACCAATTGCAAGCACGCTCATAACGAATTGTTTGTCCCTTCAGTTGTATGCATTCAGGTACAAGTCCAATGGGAGTAATTTGCTGAGAGCTGAACTCTACAAGATTCAAAATAGTACTGCATTTAAAACCTTGCAGCACTGATCAATCAGCTTTGCTGCAGGATGCTCACAACTCCTGGTACTGGAGTCGCTAAACAACACAAAAAATGCACCTGCACACTGAGCACAACACAACAGGAACACAACAAGCACTAATTTTGCAGGTGCTCACCCTCGTGGCCTCCTTTTGAGAATTGAAGCCATAGACTATGTGTACAAATTGAAGTGGCCGCATGGCTGCAGTTGAAGCGGGCCCACCAGTGAATTCTCCATTGTGGCAGCGGAGGCGTCGGGTGGGGTTGTGTGTGTATCTGCATGTGAAGCGAGAACAACACAATCAAGAGTGCATGTTCTGAGCAGCAAGAACACGATAGTTGAGTTTGTCGATTCCGACTCGGAGAAGCTATTCACTTGGTCTTGTTTACCCACTGACTTGCTCTCACTACTTTCAGGACCACGCTGCTCAGCTCTGGCAGATACTTGCCTATTGCCGTTGGTCTCATTCACAGGATGTGCCAATGACTAGCTTCGTTTAAACAACAACAGCCACAGAACAAAAGCATGCAATTAAACATGCAAGTCTGACCTGCAGAGCTGAGAATTGACTCTCAAACAGCTTCCTCAGCTTCAAGAACCTTTCTGTGACTGGCTTTTTACTTCAAGCATTGATGCCAGAAATGCTGCAATCAACTCAGGCTCAAGAATGTTCGTGCGAAAGGGATTGCATGTATGGGCTGTTCCCGCAAGCCCATCTCAGTAACCAACTACATCAAATCTTCAACGAGCTTCACTGGAAACAGGTCAACATTCTTCACAACACCGCAATGCAGAAAAGCTGCCGACGATCCTGCAACCAACATGATACCTTCATTGCAGATCAGATAAGTTACCATCCTGAGCTATCAGGGAGCTACCCTGAGCTATAATCAAGCAAAAGAGACCGCCAAAAAAAAGGCTCTCATCCAATGTAGATTTTGCGACCAGGGCAATCAGCATCCGTACGCTGCAGCATGTAGCAAGCCCAGTAACGGGTGAAGCCAGCCATGTTCAGAAGTTGCTCCCTCAAGTAAAATGTGTTCCAGCTTTCAGAGCAGAGACTACAATGGTTGGTCAATGGGTTTGACATCTGTAGGACTGCAAACCTTGCAGACCTTGCGGGAAAGAGAACTCTGAAACTTTTAAAAAGCTGGGCTGCCTGTTAAACCTTGCATTCTTCAAAAAGCCCTGCCTTGAGGTCTTCAAGGTCTTCTGTGACAGCAGCCGAGGCTGAAGGCCTGAGGGGTCCCTTGACTTGACAACCATTATGCTGAGTTTACCCGCTACACACACTTGGAAGCTGAGCCTAGCATGTCAAACGGTTGGGCGTCTGCGTTGGAGGTTGAGAGGCGCAAAAGAGGACTTGGCGACCTGTTTGAACTTTAAAGGACACCTCCTGATCGCTAATATTGCGACATGTATGGAGCCCTGGACTCGAAATGTTTCAGTTGGGATGGCAAAAGTAACGACAGGGTGCCGGTTCTGGCTGATATCGACTGGTTTCGCCGGGAACCGGCAGCCTTGTCACTGTCCAGTGAGATTACCGGCACCGTCCACACGGCGTCCGCTACGGGTCGGTACCGCGCGGCAACACCGGCGGTACCCGTCCACGCGGGCGTGTCCACGAGGACGGTACCCGTCCGCGCGACTGAATACTCCGCAGAGGATCTTCCATTACCGACCCCCTCGGCGGACCGAAGCAACGCGACCATGTACTTTAGACGCCCCAGCTGTGCCGGTAGCACCCGTTACGGTTAATATCGTGATACAAAATCCTATACGCAGAAAGGAAGCGACCCCAGACCGATCGAACGTACCCCACCCAGGCTTCGGCGGTGGCTATATAGGGCGGATTCGACTCGCGAATTCTCCATAAGTTTCAACTCCGCGATCATAAGCCGAGCCCCATTTGTACCCCAGGCCCAGTGCTCCGCCCCCCGCAGTAATGGCAGGAGTGGCAGGATCATGCGGCCTTGAGGCACAATTACCAGGTGGAGGTTTCTGTCCCACTTCCTGGAATCAGGTGTCGACTGGGAAATTCATAATCGACCCAAAGTTGCTTGTAGCTAACACCACTGCCTTCAAGTGCGCTGTGTGCAAGCAGCCTCTACTAAGTTCGAAAAATGGCGTCTGCCAGATCTCTTTCAGAAAATCCCAGCAAGCGAACCTTGGCGGCTTCGTCGTCTCCAGCAGAGTGAAAGGCAGTGGCAAAAACCAACCAGTGTGCCTGGCTTGCGTAGAGCGCTGGGTGGGAAAGGTCACATTGACCCAGACCACTGTCCGTGTTACCCTAGCTGGATGTGTAGGTCCATCGGAGGTTTGGTTCGAGCGCAAAGATTCCATCGACTCATGGCGCCAGCGGAAAGTGTTCCTTGGAGAAGATCTTATTGGGCTGCAGTCGAAGGATGCAATGAGCAGAGAGGCAGCTGGTGGAAAGCGCTCCAAAATTGCAGCCGAGGCCGCCAGGCTGGGCAGATCCCGCGAAAGGTCCCACTGTTGGTGAGTGATGTTGTTAGCCTACCATCCTAGCTGCTGTTGCCATCTTGCCAGGACTCAGTGAATGCCACTTTCAGAAGAAACGCTTGCGCGCCTATTCCTCGCTTTGGTGGTAGTGGTGGAAAGCAGATTGCCCAGCAGATGCAACTTGACTCGCGGACGTCGGATATTTTCCGGCTATCCAGATTAAAACAATTCTCTGATCGATGTACGTCTTCAATTACTTGCGTAGGAACATCGCGGACCGGTAGAAGCGGGATATGCAGGCGAGCGGCTCACACTCGCCGCTCAATCTGGGCGGTTCCTGGCCAACCTCATGAGTGGCGACTGCGCAATCTACAGCATCGGCGAAGGGGTTTCTGACAGCTCTGTGTTTCTGATGACCGCATGGAACCATAACGCTGCCAGGCACAAGTCGCTTGGGCGGCCCAGCAAGGAGCGCGCTCTGCACGAAACTGTGCACTGGGACACCATCGGGAATCCACACTGCACCTGCGACCGGGGGCGGCTGTACTTCGGAGCCCCCTGCGTCCACAAGCTGGCGCTGCGGGGGCTGGAAGAAGCAAGGCAAGCAAGCCACATCTCTCTGCAGAGGGGCAACCGGGTGGTGGAGGCACCTTGCACGAGACCTGGAGAGCGGGTGTTTGGCGTGTACTGGAACGCAGCATCCCCAGGACCGCAGCGGACCATGGTGCATTTTGATGACAATGAGCAATTCGCATGGTATTGCGAAGGGAGACAGGCGGGTTGCAGCAAGGTCGGCGACTGCAGCCACATCGTGGAGGTGAAAAGAGCTCTACAGCGTCCGGACGGTGTCCACAGGCTGGAGGGGCGTCTGTTCCCGGAGGCACAGCTCGACCGGGCAATGATATCCATCCTTCAGGAAAAGAGTGTTATGCGAGTCGAGGGGCAGGAGGCAGCAGCGAACGGCACATCTGTGACGTGCGTCACCGAGGCTCTAAGCCCCGATGAAGTTCAGGGGGCGCACTCGACGCAGGCCGAGCCGGACGTGCTCTGGGAGGTGGAGAGGTACCTCCTTGAGCTGAATACTGACGGCCACGACGAGGCAGCCTGTAAGGGTGATACCTGTTTTTGCAAGCAGCATCCCTGGTTTGGCGGCGGGGTTGATCCGGACAGTGGAAGTTGTACAGCCCGGTGTTGTAACTCTGCATCCGCAAGTGGGAAGCGGGCACGAACAGAGCAAGCGGATGGGGACACGGCTGAGCACTGGGGCGGGGGTTGAAGCGGAGGGGCAAAACTTACTGGGCGGCAAAAGAGCAGCACGAAGCAGCAGAGCCGGTGGAGCAGGAGAAAGGGGGCAGCTGCAGAGATGAGGAGGGGGGCTGCAGTGGCGCTAGTGTGGGAGGACCCGGGGAGTTTTTGGTCCCAGTTTGTAGCGAGTGCACTTGCCCTTCCAGCGCGTGCACTCATGGGGCGTCCGGGCGTGTTGCAGTTGTGCTGCCTATGGATGCTGAGGGCGTTCAGTTGGAAGTCCCCAAGCTGGTGCGCCCAGCAGACAGCTGGGAGGTTCACGATCCTGAGGTGAAGCTGCTGCAACAGCCTGTGAGGGTCAGTGAGCTAATAGCCCGGGACTTCGCAGAGCTGAGCGGAATGGAGTACCTGTCGGCTCCTTGTCCTAGGGCACTCCCACCTTGCAAGACTGGATGGATGGGACTCTAGCAGAAAGCCCAAGTGCACTCCCTGCAGTGGTCGCAGGAGGTGAGACCGCCACTCAATGGCCGAGCATTGGCCTTAGCTTGCATCAAGAGAGCCGTGCGGACTCAGACTGCCTTTGTTGTCCGCAATCGGTGCTTAGACCTTTCAAAACGCATCGCGTCAGGGGCACGTGCCCAAATCAAGGATAGGGGCAATCGCTGTCTATTTGTTGTCGATTCATATATGTTCTCTTAGATGCAAAATCTAGACAACGCAGATTGAAGTTTTGGAGTGACACTGTCCGTCCAGCGTGATTGCCTTCTGCTGACACATTGACAATCTGTCCAAGTGTCCGAGCTTTTGCACAAACTTTTTGTGGTCGTGAAATGCTGACGTCATCAACCCATGACCAGTAGAGAAGCGCTTTTCTATACAATAGCACTCTCCTTTTCTGCAGGTGAAGATTCGCATCTTTGCATGTGCTTGTCCCGAGAAGCACTGCGTCCATTTCTGCGGGGAGGCTCTTGGACTCTATGCTTGGACGAGAGGGGTAATCGTCACGCAGGGGTCATTGCAAATGTTGCTCCGTTCCATTCAAGAAACGGGCTCATCTTTCGTCGGGCTCATCACGGCAAGTGCAGATGTCCGGCGGCTTTTCAGGCCTAGTGCCGTGCTCCTGTCAGAGGAGACCTGGCGTCAGGCAAGCCTGGGCTTCTTAAGGCTCTGCGGTTGGTCGATCCTTGAGTGATGTAGCCTTTGCGGGCCGCATCCCAAGGTGGGTCAGCCTGACGCTTTGTAAAAGGGTCTGAAGTTGGATACTACGTTTTCGTGGCCAGCACCAAAGTCATGACGTCACCATATAAGCTTTTGGCAGAACTTTGTCAAAGCTTGGTGTCCTTGCTTCATGTGGACAGCCTTTGCTTGCATGCCAATCGCTGAAGTTGGATGCAGGAGTTGTGCATTGCTAGCGAAGCTTTGACATGTATTCGAAAGTACAAAAACGTGGTCGCATGCCCTTTTTGAGGCCGTAGCTTGAAGGTATAATCATTGCTGCCGATTGAATGCTTGCATGATGGATCGAACATGATAGTAGATAAATACATCTGATCAACCTTCTTGGATCACTTATAGGTGCTCCTGTGCGATGGCATCGCGGGACTCTCATGCGCGGACGGGGGTCGACAGAAGGGTGGATTGGGGGGAACCAACGCAGCAGGTGTGCGCCCGTTCACAGCGCCAAGTCGAGACTCCGCTGGCGTCAACGTCGAAAAGACCATGGAACCGGGCGTCAACTATTGCGCTGCATCTTTGGCGGGGCGAGGGATGAAGCGAAGATTAGTGATTCAACCAGAATTGCGGGCGCTGCTTGCACGTTTCAGCGGGCATCATTCGAAAGACCCTGACCTTGGGAAGGATCTATCTCGACCCGAGTACGTGGAGCTCCTGGTAAGTCGTGAGTACTCAGATGGCCAGCGCAGCATCCTGGTTTTCCACAAGAGGAAGTCGTGTCTTTTCGATCGAGCTTGCAGGAGAAGCCGCCCAAGCCGAACTTCAGACAACTTGGCAAGATGCAGCATAGATTACGAGTGGCATTCAATTTCGACTTTGGCGCTGACCTTGAAATCTGTACTTGTCCAGGTTGCGCTCGAGAGGGCTGACGTTGAAGCTGTAGGCGAGTTCGTTCCAGACCCGGATGATGGCGAGGGGGACCCCGTCCTTCTGCACTGGAGGCGACGAGTCTTGCTGGATCAGATTGGTCAGATCCGGTCGAAGAACCAAGCCACGCTCGAGCTCCTCGTGGGAATCGAGGAAGAAGCGATGCGTGAAGACCCACGCTGGCCCCCCCGCTGCCCCGGAAAGTGGGCAGAACTCCTCTACGGACTGGGCGCCCCTCTGGGCGACTCAGATGACAGCAACCTCATACAGCACGGACGAGCGCTGGCCGTCGTTCGAAAACTCCTTCTCGGGGGTGCAGCAAACGGGCAGGACAAGGCCGCCTTGGCCGAGCACTCCCCCATCCTGCGGCGTCTGCTGGATCACTATGGCGACGCCTTTCCAGTCTTCTTCTTGCCCGCCCTCCACCATCTGTATCGGCTGACCTTGTTTGGGCGCGGAGCGATGGGTCTCGGGGTGGGGCGAGCGGGGTGGGCGTTGTCGGCTGTGGAAGGCCTCGATTATTGCATACGGATGGCGCGCGAGTTCCGCACACAGGCAAACCCTCCGACCGCTCAGCAGTTTGAAGTGTTCCGATTCTGGGAAGCCCGGGCCAACGATCTACTACCGAGAGTCGAGAACTTAACCCCACCAGCCCCGCAGCAGTACTCTCTCTCCCCGGCGGAGCTCCACCTCCTGCGCGACAGGTTGGGACTCGAGGCAGACGGCTGTCAACCCCCCGATCTTCCCCTCGATCATCCTTATTGCAAAGAGCAACGTGAGCTCGGCTGCTATCCTCTGCCAGGCTGGGAGCAGAAGCGGGCGCTCCCGCAGTACAAGCCGTTCGAGGACGAGCTCGGCAGGTCCGTCGACCAGCAGGAAGAGTACCGATGCCGAAGTGGTCTCACGGTTGGAGAATTCGACGATGCCATTGCTGCCAAGAGCAGCGCAAAGCCCATCAAACGGCTGCAGCACACAAAGGGCGGTTTCGTATTTCGTTGTCCGCACCGGGTTATCTATGGCTGGCATGTGATGGTCCGGGAGGAGTCACCGAGGGATCCCTTTGCGGTGCTATACACGCGCCTCCACCAACAGAATCTCCCTGACTTCCTGATCTATGACAACACGTGTAAACTCCAAGCTTACTGCATGAGGCGCGAGCCGGGCCATTTTGCGGACGTCCGGTTTCTCGTAGACCGGTAAGCGTCAAAAGCCTTCATTTGCCCTTCTGTCATGCAATTGATGGCAATCAACTTCGGGACAAGAAGGCCTTAAAGTTTGTAGAAACGTCTGCAGAAGGTAGGCACATGATGCTTGAGCTGAAACATGACCTGACCCGTGGAAAGCAAGCCGGAGGGAGTCCATAGACAGGAGGTCTAGCACTGATTTTCGAGAATAGCTGATGATTCGAGGGGCATGTATCTTGGCTGGCAGCTGCTCAACCTGAATGATCCGTTGTTTCCCCACAGGTTCCACTTCCAACGGACTAATGCAAAGGCTCACAAGTGCGGGCCTTCCTTCAATCCAGGTGAGTATAGCAAACTTCGGCAATGTAGAAGCTAAAATCCGCAAGTCGTAATGTGTCCAGATTGCCTGATTGGATGCATTTATCAAAGGGCTCAAGTGATGGCTCAGCCCTCTATTTCCCTCGCTGAAGCTTGCTGTAAATGCCTTCCAACAGATTACTACGATGCTGTCCAGTGGGTCAACACGTCTGCGGTGGAGTCATGCAACTCGTTCTTCGTCGACTTCAAGGTTCTGGCTTGGTTTTCGGGATTAGCCTCGTTTATGATCATCCTAGCAAACATTATCAGCGGACGAAACTCAAAGCTGAGGCGGGTTGATGACCCTAAGTTACTGATAGCCGGAAGAGCAGACACGTGGCAAGCAGCTGTGCGAACTAATCTATTGAATTATTGAGGTATGTAAGTGACCCCGATTAGGTAGCAAGTGCCCAGCATTGGACTTTTTGACCCAGATAGAATTGCAAGTAGCATACAGTGGAGGGAAACCGACCGAAGATTTGCCAATCAATGTCACGCACTTTATTAACAAGCCGTGGCATTATATGTATCACGTTATTGTTCTGATAACGTTATAGACCCGATGCAACATGCAGTGCTTCTTCAATTATGGGTCGAGCAATCCATCATCCAAGATGCAATGTCATTGCAAGACCAAAAGCCCAAAAGACCTCAAATCCACATATTTCGTATTCACAGATATATCTATAAAAGAAAAAAAAATGAAATTGAAAATACTTAGAAATGTAGTCTTTTGGACTTTTGGACTGCGGTTGATAAACAGAGAGATAAAAAGATGTGCATGTAGCAGAACCACCGACGATACAGCTTGTCTTTACAAGAGGTCTCACCCTCTACCCCAATGCAGTGTCACTGATACAATCAGCCTTTAGACGAACGCCGCTGAGGCCTTTGAATTGGCCTTTGTCTTGGACCGTCCTATCCGTAAAGCGGCCATCTTCGACTAAATAATTGGCGCCATCAGCATACAGGATGGTTCGTTTTTTCAATGATTGAGGGGTGAGCGAGCTTGATAGATCTTCTTCTCTGATCCAAGTCCGGCACGCGGCTTCCAGCCTCTCCCCCAATGGCAAGTGCCACGTCGGCCGTGCTCCAAGCTGCAACTCTTCAAACTCTAGGCATTCTTCGATAAATCGCTTTCCGATATCGCTGTCATTGACGTAGGCTTTCATAGCGTCTTTCGTTGCCTTCGGGCGTTTCTGTAGGACCTGGTCGTTAGGATTCGCCCGTTTGTGCTCGAAATAGCGTTGAGCTCCGGCTGCAATCCACGAAAGACCGGCCTCCCTACCCTCATCCGATTTCACGTAGGCTTCCAAGGTGGAATCTTTGGGCTTTTGTCGGGCTTTGTTTTGGTTCACTTCATCGGCGGATTTGAAGGTGACAATCATCGGTAGAAGAGCCATACGCCGTGTAAAGCTGAACGATGGATTTTCGATTTGCGACTTGAAATTTGTCATGAGAATGGCCTTATGTGTCACCTCGGAGCTCTCTTGCTTACTCTGAAGCTCTCGTGCTGTAATCGGGCCTCCTCCCGAAAGGTCGGATTTCTCCTTTGATTCGTCCGATATTGCCAGACGTGCTCCCTTCAACGCAATGAGGTAGGACGAAGCTGAACCAACAGATCGCTTGCCAGGTCCCGCTTCGATGATGACGTCTTTGTCCATCACAGTAGCATAAGATCCAAAGATTTGAAATATTGCTATCTTGATGAGTGATTTTCCGTTCGAACCATCACCTTGTGTTACCAGAAAAATCTGCTCGGAGGTATCGGCCGTCATGCAACATCCAAGGTACATTTGATACCAATTAAGAACTTCTCTGTCGTCGTTAAAGCATTCCAGCAAAAATTTTGCGAAGCGGGATTTGCCGTTCGGCATTCCACGAAAAGCTACTTTCGAAGCTCGCGAACACAGCTGTGCAGGATGGGGGGCAAGCAACTGTCCAGTTGTCGTATCCAGCGTACCATTTTCACAGGCGAACATGAACGGGTTGGCAACGTCCATAAGAGCATTAAGGTCCTCTTGGATTTGCAGTGAATTCAGAACATATTCAAGACAGACGCGCACTTCAGAGCCACGTGTCAGATCTAGCAGCTGACATAATGAATTCCCCTTCCAAGGGAAAGGCAATGTGGCCCCGACTGTCCTCCACGCTGCACGGCATGCTTCCTTTTCCTCTTTGCTCTTTGGGCAGGTTGCCTAGTCTGGAAGTGAGCCCTCCGAGCCCTCCGGTATGCAACCCCACTTTTCGGATCCTTTTGTAACCTTATATATCTCTTGCTTGAATGCTTCCATTCGCAGATTTTCGTACCATTTCAGGATTCTCGACATGCGGCTCGAGAACACGGATTGCACGTGAAACGATCCATCTGATAACCACCTTCGTGCATTCCAATATCGGAAATTCTTCCCTTCAGCAAGGATACGCCCATCGACGGCATATATGGCACTAAATACAGCCGCCATCCCCCGATAGCGTTGCATCACGTTGCGTTTGATGAGATCCACATAATATTGGCATTCTTGTCCAGATAAGAGCTTGCAATTATCTGGGAACACTGAACGGTCGAAAGTAGGATGCAGCTTTGTAGAATTTGCATCTAGCAATGACTCGGTGAGGCTTAGATTTCCAAGTTCTACGAGCGGCCGTTCTGAGCAATCCACCCCGCCGAAACAACGGTAAAGTACTACCCAACCTCGTTTGGCTAACGTGAGGTTGTTGGATCCATTATGGCGATGGCCGTGTATGCAAGTTCGAGGCCCATTGCAGATGAAGGAGTAAAATGAACCAAGAGGACCATGAGAGGAGACCTTCCCCGAAAAGCTAACGTTCTCGTCTAGTCCAGCATCTTTCAGCAGCTTCATCATTGCAGCAGCAATTTTGTACTCGCAAGCTTGTGCGTCTCGTTTTTCCAATGAATCATCGGTCGAGTCTCCATCGTTTGCAACGGCCCACGGTTGTAGGAGCATGTTGCCGTCCTCAACTAGTGATGAACACCGTATCGATTCAACTGCATTTCGAGTACTTGTGTGCATCGTTCGATCAGCTCGTCTGGCAGAGGAATTCACCAACTCGATCACCCATGTGGGAGCGGGTTTGATGTTCGTCCTCTTGAGCGGCACATTCCATCGGTATTCTTGCCGACACCAAGGGAGCTTGGAGGAGCGAAAGCGAACCCCCCCTCACCGCGGCCGTCTATACGATAACGCTGCCCGTCCACGTCCACGCCCACAAAACATTTGCCCGATTGGAGCCCATCTCTGATCGTGCCGCTGAAAGAGAAGTAGTGATGAAACCCGCCACTGATAGTTGTTGCCCTTAACGTGTACGGCTCCCCATGCTTCTCGATTAAGCTTTTCCAAAAAGGCATACCAGCTAGAATGTCCTCCTCGGGTTTGTCCTTCACATCCACATCCAGGATGAATACATCTGACATAACACCAGTTTTGATTGCGAGAAAGGTGTATTGTTTCTCCTCAATATGTTCGATGATTCTTGCTCTTGACTTGTTCCAATCGGAACCTGACCATATGGCCGTGACTCCTTTCGCGTGTGGCACAGTTGCGTGAACCATCTTGGTCCCGTCCTCGCCCAGCGATGCCTTCGCTGGGATAGCGTAGATACCTTCTTGGGCATAATTCTCAAAGACGTCCATCAGCGCCATCGTCTGAACGTCCGATGTTTAATTTCTATCTGAGAAAATTTTGGACGGTAGCTGACGCGCATGGGGCCATGGGCCTCATAAGGAGCATGTTTCTACAGTGCTCTGAAGAGGCATACATTGATTTGATGACGTCAGCAAATCGCGCACCAGAAAACCCTTGCGCCAGAGCTTGGACAGTTCGGACAAGCTCAAAAACAAGCCCTGCCCCAAATGGCGCAGTACACTACAGTGGCTTTGATGACGTCAGCAGATCGCGCACTAGAGAACTTTGCGCCAGAGCTTGGACAGCTCGGACAAGCTCAGACAAGCCCTGCTCCAATTGGCACAGTCCAACTGCAGTGCCTAAGTCTAAGATACATTCACAGATGGGTAAACATGCGCTTCGTGTAAACGTTCCATCGTGCGTCTGTTCACGGAAACACCCCTTTCTATTCGTTCCAATGCTTTCTTCAATAGGATCCGGTCCTTGTTAATGTTATAATATGCTTGTGGGTAGCTTCTCATTTGTGCTTGTTGGTCCTCTTTGTAGTTCGCGGATTCCAAGCATGCTGCACATAGAGTGGAGCAGTCGGAATGGTTGTGATTGTCAAACATACTGTATGTAGAACGATTTACTTCCACTCGAGGAAATTATCTTCGGTACAACACGCGCATGCTTTGATCCATTTGCAGCAGCTTTGATTTATATATAGAGTCTTCCAAAGAGTGGCCTGGTCGACATCGTTATATGGTTGCCTCAACTTTACGATCACGTATTAATGATGCTTGAAAAAAAAAGGCGTCAACGTGAATACCTTCGTTCATAGAGGTTATGTGCCGTTGAAATTGAGTGTCCCATGAAATCACACTTCTGACGTAGTTCGCCACGAGAACTCAATTCAGGTGTACATTCGGTGTGAGAAATATGACGCAAAATCGAACAAGAAAGCTTCTTACCGAAGTGCCGCTCGCCAAGATCGTTCAGCACAGGGGTAAAATTGGAAATCGGTTCGTCCAAAAAGCCTAAGTAACGGGATTTCATGACCAGGAACTTCCTTGGGCAGAGATTCCAACTTCGTAGTATGACCTTCACGATTAACTCAGGTATCTGCAATCTTCGTATCCCCACCTTGGATAAGGTCTTATGCGTGCTAATGATAAATTCGCACCGCTTGGGGTCTGGAGTCCAGAATACAAGAATTCATGTCACCTGGTTTAGGTTCGAAATCGGAGACTTCCTCTTGCATCAGAATGCGGCAGCTGCCAAACTCGTTCCGTACTGGTCCAAGAGGCATCGTGTAAAGACTCAGAATCAGGTGGTCATTCACTAATTGCTTATCATTGCGTGTCAGTGCGCGCCCATGTTCGTACTTCTCAACGATTGTTCGTGAAATGATTCTATCGAGGTTATCTCTGACCTTGACGACATCATTCCATGGCACCAACTTTTGAATCTACTTTTCGGTCTTTTTTTGAGCCGTTCGATCGAGCTCCTCCTGGCAGGGTTTCGTGGATTCAATGTAATCACCATACGCTTTTTGTGCCGCATTGAAGCCCTGCTTCTGAGCAAGGATTGAGAATGGTGCCGCATAGCAGCCCTTCGTCAGAGGTTTGAGGGCAATGCCATTTGTATCTGTCAAACTTTCGATCGCTTAGGATCACCCGTTGATGCTCTTTGATCCAATCGAGAGACTCGTCATCACATAATTGTGTATTCGGATGGAGGATGGTAAACACGGTGCGAAGCTGCCTGATGTAGACGGTCATTGTCGACTCTGTTCGCATCGTGGGATTCGAACCATCACGACCCGCTTCTTTCTGTTCGTAGGCTTCTTAATTTCTACAAGCAATGTCTTGCGCTGATTGTTCGGTACTTGAAAGACTATCGTGGACATTGATAGCCAGCCGCCAGCTTCCTCTGGTTTGAAACCACCTATAGAAATTATATTCTGATGAAAAGCGAGTCCTGCTCATATACGCTCAAGATTCAACATCTTGTTATTGAAAACCATCTTCGCGCAGAAATTGGAGTAGTTGCTCCCGCTCATGGGTGTCAGCGGGTCCGATACTGATGTTATAAAATACTCTCGAGGGATGAGCTCCAATGTTCTAGCGAGGTATTTGCAGAACATTCTAGGTAGCTAATACATCTCCCCTTGCTTACGTAGTTGAAAGATTTGCTTCGTTTGGCTAACCTGTATGAGCGCGTCAATGGTTTCATGGTGCATCTCCCTCTCATTCTTCAAGAGGATGGGCAGATGATAAAGCTTTACCCCACGTCTGATGTGCTTCTTAATGAGCAGGTGCCATTCTACAAGCAAATGTATCATCAAAGTCTTTACCTCCTTCCTGTCGAGGTCAGAGTCTACATCCAAAGATCTAACCTTTCGGGCAAGCTTCGCACCAAAAAGTTCGACATCTTCTCGCGACATCTCATGTACCTTGATTGAATCATCCTCGTTTTCGGCGGCTTGCTTCTCACGGAGTTCTTTCAGTGGCTTATTGTCCTTTTGAAATGGCCGGAAGAATGTTTTATAGGCCTCCGCGTGACCTGGAAGCTTCTTACAAGCCGCAAGAAATGGGGCTAGTCGTGTTCTACGAGACCCTGGATTCTCATTTAGTTCATAAACAACTCGGGTAAATGCTTCGGCGTCGGATTTAAGGAATCCTAGGTCGGGTTCGCTAGGAAGCGGACGATTATGGCATAATTGGTAGACGAGAGCGATGCCTCTAACGTATTGATCCACGGATGCCTGGGAGCGGATTCCATCATCGAAAAGCCTTCGCAATGCATCCATAGTTATTGCCTCCTATAAAAGGATTCGACAATAAAATTCTACACAACCAGTGTGGGGCTCCAAAAGTTATATCAAACAGCCGTGTCAAGAAATAATGACGGTGGAAAATCAGTTGGAATTTTCGTCTCGAGAAATGCTATCGGCAGAGGCAAATTGTCGAGAAAAACCGGTTTTTATCAGGTTGATAACTATTTACTTCAACTAGCGTTGTCAGAATTCCTAGCTGAGCCTGTAGCGGAAAAAGCATTTGTTGTGCGACAGAAAAAAGCGACTGAGGACCGGAGTCAAAATCGCTTCAGTGTCTGGGCGTCTTCGTCACTCCTGGACAAGCATGTTTGCAGACTACAGCCCCCTATTTGCATGAACCCTGGCATCTTTGAAAGGCTTTCGACTTCCAAAACTTCTTCTCGATCTAGCTGGTCATTGATCCACTTCTTCCGCGCTTCATTTAGCATGTTCTTGGACCATTTCATCCGTTCTTCGTAGCCATCGAATCTCATCAAGTAGACGATGTACTCTCTTATGAGTGCGGCCTCCAAGTTCACCCACGCCTGCCATTGCATGCCTCCGGCCTTGTGGGCGATCAGACCGGGCTTGTAACGATCATGGTTCAGGGGCCCAAATAGTTCCGTCGCGTAAAGACCTTCGAGCGCCTCCGGATATCGGCTCCGACAGTTCAACCTTTGGAAGCCTATACTTGTTGTACTGTTGAAAGTCCTCTAGATGTTTCCTGCTTCTTGCCTGCAACGTGCAACGTCAATAGATTGTTTGAGGATGTACACTGTTTTTGTGAAAAATGATTGTGGATGTACACTGTTTCTGTGCAAATTGATTGTAGGTGTACACTTTTTCAGTGAAAAATGACTATAAATGTACACGAATCAAGACCTTCGACCAAAGTTTGTTGTTATTATTTAAAAAGTATTTGGCTCACCTGAACCTTGTCGGGATGGAACCGGAGGGACCAACTAGGGTGGTTCAAACGGATCTCCCAGGAAGCGAATTTCTATTTTACCTCGTCGGGATTGAATTGAGCATCTGCTAACGGCCGGGATATTGGCGGCCGCACATACTCTGGTGCTTCGGGTTCTGGAGCTGTGGGCACCGCAGACAGGGCGAGAACGCGGTACTTCGCAATATGACGAGCACGAAAAACTGCGCGCTCTCCTTCTGGTGTCCACCTGTACCTAGAGACGGCCACTTGGTTGCTCCGCTGCTTCACGCGCTTAGCTGCCTCCGGAGTCAGACCCTGCAGCCGCGAGATGGGGCGGTCGCTGGGCAGCTTTGCCGGTTCACAACCGGTCCTCGAACGGTGGGCCTCGAGAGCCTGCTTCGATGCAAAATTCTTGAAGCATGCCGCATCTTTGGAAGGAATCAAATGCTGCTCGAGACAGATGTAGCGGCCCTCCCACCTCTCCCAATGTTGCGTGGCTGCTTCTGGCACGTCGGAGGAACCGCTTGAAGGGTCTGCCATTTCGTCTTCAACAAGGCAATCGATTTAGCTCGTTGCGAGTCTCTGTCCGACGGTACCAATACTAAGCACTATAAACACGTTCTGCGAGTAGGGCTAGCATTGAAAAGCATAGATCTTATGAAAGTCGGATTGGCACTTCTGATACGACAAGCTGTCGATTTAAATGCAGATGCAACAGCTTTTACGCTGGATGACCTGTATGAAAAACTTATGCGCTTGTCGGTAAAACCGGCTGAGCATTATCGGAATTGCGAATTCGTCTTTAAAGACTCGAATTTCCACCTACATGAGATCATCACATTATTGAAACATGCAGCGATCCATTTGCTGGTTGATGGTTGCCATCTTCAAGGGGAACAAATCGCAAACTTGGTAAAGGCGGAAAGTAAAAGGTACGAAGGTCAGAACGGAGAACGTATGACGAACGAGAAATGCACACCATAACGTTCTTGCATGCGACAGTAGATAGAAAGAACACCAGCCGAATGTGCCATTGCTCGTACTACTTTATTGCTAGGGTAGAGACGTAGCGGCATGGTCCTCAAACTGCCGACCTTGTCTTTATGGGTGCCGTACTCAAAACCCTGGTGTATATAGGTGTCTTGATAAAATATAAATGTCGTACGGTCTTTCAGAGGTTGGGCTTGGCTGCGTGGCATCCGAGTGCTGACGTCATCTTGTGGGCTTCCGAAAAACTATATGCGAGAGCTTGGACACTTGGACAGCCGGACCTAGGGCCTGAGAATCTGTCCAAGTGTCCAAGCTTTTGCACAAACTTTTTGCGGTACTAAAGTGCTGACGTCATCATATGGGCTCCGAACAACAGTTCGACCCAGGGCCTGACGATCTGTCCAAGTGTCCGAGGTTTGGTACTGATATTTCATGGCCACAAAGAGCTGATGTCGTCATCGATACTGGATAATGAACTCGAGCAAGGCGTGTTCGAGTTGTCCATGCCGTCCAAGCGCTTTTGCACAACTTTTTGTGGCTGTGTAATGCTGACGTCATCATATGGGCTTCCGACAGACCTTTCCATGAGAGCCTGGACACGTGGACTCGCGCAAGGCATGTTCGAGCTGTCCAAGTGTCCAAGCTTTTGCACAAACTTTTCCGGTACTGAAGTGCTGACGTCATGCTGAAATTCTAGAGATCAGGTGTCTCTGAGCTCAGACAATTTGTGCGCTGCAAGGCTTTCACTGACTCCTTACCATTGGCAGGCTAAACTTCCTCAATTCATTATTGGAAACAGTTTATACACAATCTATCGTTCAATCATTTATTTACATGGCATACCAATCTAAAAGGCACAAACAGAGAGCTCCCCGGTTGCATTGAAAGACCACCTTGATCTCATTTGTCTAGCGTGCTGTGCAAGCCTCAAAGACCTAACCTAACAAACTGTGTACTCGCACTTGATCTTTGGATAGTAAAACTGGCGTGGCGACTCATTATTCTTTAGCCTCTTGAAGCCCTTCTGTTCCATCCTTCTTGCCAATGCCTCATTTAATATTCTCTCCGAGGAGAACTCGCGATAAAGGGTGGCGAATTCGGTCTGCAAAGTCGAAAGCCCTTCTCCAACCTCGCAATGCTGATCAATAAATAACTGCAGCTTGTCGGCCTCGCTGAAGTACTCACGCGTTGCGCTTTTCACCGCCTGGGGAGGAGGCCCGAGTCCGTCTGCACTAGCGTACCACTCGGCTGAACCGCGGGCGATCCACGAAAGTACCTGGCGAAGAGACTCCTCTTCCTTCATGCGACCTTTCAAGCCGTCATCTCTGAGGCGGTGGGTTGCGTTGGTGGGATCGAAGGCGTCCGCACCAACATAGCTATTGGGAAACGAAATCACTCGAAGGCGGCGCCGAACGTTTTCCTTGATTGCAGTTGCGCAGATTGCGGGGGGATAATTCGTCTGAACGAAGGGCGTGTGGGTGATGGTGAACTCCACGTTATTGGCATGAAGACAGCGCGCCTTTGTCTTGCCGCCCCCGGTCATGCCTAGGACGAGCCCCAAATCCACGCGCTCGCCCTCTGCCGTCTCATCAGTAACAGCGAGTCGCACGCCCATCAGCTCAAAGAGATAGTTGGTAGGGGCGTTTTTCGAGGAAGGCTTTTGGCCGGGAGCTGTAACCACCGCATCCTTGGACATACCGCCATAGTAATCGCCGACTGCCGCTTGCAGCATCTCCTTCAGAACCCCCTTCCCGTTTCCTGCATAGAGAAATTCAAAATGGATGAATCCCTGAGCAATCGCTTACTTGCGCTGTTCGCAACACTGACAACACTGGCTCGCTACATCGCAAACTTAAAGGCCGCACCTTGTACAAGAAACACTCGAGATGCAATTTGGATTTCGAAGGCCTAGGGAGTCTGCAACAGTTCAAGTAGAGGCAAGACTGGGGAGCAGGTGACTCAGGCACAAAAGAGCGATGTAGCCAATTAATTCGGCCAGATGTCGACGCTGTAACCTTACAGACCTTATGACAACCTAAACAGCAAATTGATTGACGACGGAAGAGCAAGTCGAAACGGAACTCAGGGGCAATCTCAACGGCGTCGTTCCTTTCAAGTAATCCATGGTGGATTCGTTCCCACGGAGCCACTCCTTGAAAACCACAACGTTCTGGACCAATAAACAAGGTGGGCCCTTCAAAACCGAATCCAAAGCTCACCTCCAGCTCCGAGCAAGAGCACGAAGATTTCTTCTCGAGTATGACCATTTAGAGCGTAGCCATACAGCTTGCGCACATAGTCCAGCAGCTCAGAGTTGTGGTTGAAGATGTCGCCAAGGAAGGTATCAACGAGCGGAGTGGGATACTCGATCCCCTGCAGAAAGAAACAAGCTCGACCTCAGAACGGGACTGTACTTGCTCGGTGCCTTTCACGAAAGAACAAAGCAACAATCTGATGAGCGACCGCAGGAGGAGTGGAGACTACAGCGTGCACCACAACGAGATTCAGAAGGCGGTTCCAGTTGCAAACATTAATGCTGCAGCCAGAGCCTCATCCGCACGCCCCAGTTAAGAGAAGATGTAGCAACCCTGGAACAAACTTTTGAAGCCTAACTGCTAAGTCTAACTGCATGCTTTATCACGGGCTCAGTGCTCAGTCCAGGCAGAAGGGGCTTACCATGAAATTCGTCTCTGCAATCTTAGAGCACATGTATTCGGGTCTGTGCAGATCGAGCTCCCCTGTCTTCAAAAGGAGCACGCCATTCTTCACATTAAGGATGTCTGGGTTCGCATCTAGCTGCTGAGCAAAATCGGCGACGTAAAGCTCCCCCCGAACGAGCTCCAAAGTGCTGGACATCACTCGGCAATTGTTGTACGTGCGCAGGCGCTTAAGCTGCTGTGTCAGCGCCTCCCGCTTCTCCTCGTCAGCGGTTGCCTCGATCGCTGCATCTAACTCGTCTCTCAATCGCTTGTACACGATCCTTAGCTGGTTAATGAGAACATTCTTCACAAAGAATGCGCTCTTTGAATCTGTTACGAAGCGCCGCCTATCCCAGCAGTGCCAGCTTTCACCATCGAACCACAACCTGCAAAGCAGCAGACAACAGGGGGTCAATATCGTTGACAGGCTGTTCGCTGATGACGTCATAAATTGAAGCACGCAATCTTTGCCAGACCTTGGACACCTGGACAGACCGTTAAGACTGACTGGATACTGCCAGCTCTCCAGATGTCCAAGCTTTTCCCAAAAAAAGGAGACCCCTCTGAGATGACGTCAGCAACTACAACGACAGGACTTTTCGCCAGACCTCGGACACTTGGCCAAAACTTGCTTGCTGAGCTGGCTCTTCTTAAACCCGCACTGCTGTCAATGGCAGCACTAATCGATACTCAATTGAAGATACCCCCGACTGTTCAAGCGTCCAGCGCAAGGTTTTTTGGAGCCCATATGATGACGTCAGCATTTTGCTGCCACAAAAACTTTGTATCGAACCTTGGACACTTGGACAGATCGACAGAGAGGTCAAGTTGTCCGTGTGTCCAAGCTTTTGCGCAAGATCTATCGGAGTCGCGCACGATGACGTCAGCACCGTCTAAAGAGATTAAGAGCAATCACAAACGCCTACACTGAAACGAGCTCAGAAGCACAGCTCCAGTCAACATTGTGCCTACCTGCCGCAGCGTTTGTACATTTCAGCAACGATCTTACTGCCACCGACATCGCCCTCAAATGCCCAATGGTCGACGAAGCTCTTGTGCAGGCTGTCGATCGCGCTGACGTCGTTAGCACAGAACGCACGCGTCTCGCCTCCAATCATGGCCTCTAAGCGCGTGAGCTCTTCAATCTTCAGTAAGGGACGGACTCCCTGGCATTCCGAGCTGTTGCAGCAGTAGAGCAGGTCTCTGTGGTGCACCAGCACGGAGAAGTTGTTGGAGCCGTCGTGGTGATTGCCATACGGGCAGCGTCGAGGGCCGTCCACTCGAAAGATGTACATGGCCCCTTTGACGCCCACCTTGAGGCGATCGAAGCGGGAGGCGTTGTCGCCAGTGGCCGCCACGCGGGCCTTGATGCGCTCAAGGACCGCTTCTGGAGGGGCCCGCTGAGGGTCTTCGACTGGACGAGGAGGTCCGAAAGGTGCAGGTGCAGCCTGCGACTCGCTGCAGAAAATGAAAGTAGAGCTCATGTCAACGCCGAAGAGAAGAAAGCTGGAGACGTTCTCGATGCACACCACTTTGTGAGCAAGAGATCTTCTGCAGACATCAAGGCACTGGAAAAAGTGAAGAAGATGAATCAGACACCAAAATAGAAGCAAGCAAGCAGAGAGCGAACCGATCATAGAGATATTCTGTGAGACTTCGAAACTTCATATAAACCCTCTTTTCGTCATTGAACGGACAATGATCAGCGTCCACTGGTGGTCACTGTCACGAGTTTTGCATAAAATTCGAACGGCTTCAAATAGCCATGGCCAGCTCTGAGTTTGAAAGACACCCGTTCTATGAGGAACGGTTCTCCCTTACAAGGGACACTAGACAGAGTGTCAAGCTCTCAAGGCCGGGCTGTCCACCTAATCGACGCAGTTAACGACAGTGGCTTGATGACGTCAGCAATTTGCGACCAGGAAAATTTTCATCTGGAGCTTGGACGGCGTAGACAACTCGATTAGGCCCTCATCCGATCGACATTAACGAGAGGTGCTTGATGACGTCAGCAATTTGCAACCAGAAAAGTTTGATCTGGAGCTTGGACAGATTGGACAGCTCGTACAGTGCCCTGCTCGAACCTGGGGGACCAAAGACAACAAAGGCAATTGTAGCATACTATGCAGCAGTAAAACGCACCCCGCCATGGCTCCATCCCGAGGTACCTCCACACCCCTTCTCGGTGCTTTGCCGCTGTCGTTCAGGATGGACACGAGCCAGTCTGGCAGGGCCCTGAGATTAGAGCGGTCTGGCAGAATCTCCTGGTCCCACTTATAGGACTTGAGGGTGCCATCTAGAGCCGCATAGCTGCTAGGTGCGGTGTACAGCACTCCCCCCCTCCCGCGCACATCGATGCCCACTGCTTTGCCCTTGTATCGGATTCGGGCCCTGTTACTGCAGTTGAGCAGACCAGCCTCTTCAGATTGAGAAAGGGAGAAGAGAATGTGCAGCCCCCCGTTGCCGGTGGTTAGGCAAGGCGTGTCGTCAGGGAAATTGTCATACTCGTCTAGCATCTGCTGGAGTGCTTCATAGCCCCCGTCTTTCACGTCCACGTCGATTGCATAAATGTCTGACTCTTCTGTGACGATGGAGATGGAATTGCACCCTGGCTTGGCGAACTCTCGGAGGCAGTTGCCGAGGTTCGCGTCGTTCCAGGGCTTGGAGGAGCATGCCCAACTACAGGGATACTTGATGACCTGGCCGTTCGAAAGGAGCTTCTCTCGGAGGTCGTGAGTGATGGTCACGATGCCAAGTTCGTGGAAATAATGGGCAGCAGCCAAGATGGGATCCACAGCTGGGCTTGGTCCCTGCAGGCCCAAAAAAAAAGTTGTTTCAGGTCAATTGCTAAGAATCTTGCTAGTTACTAATCCTAAGTGCTCATTGAAACTTTGACTGCAGCAGATTGGGATGACGTCATCAAAACGATGCCACAAGAGATTTGAGCAAAACCTTGGACACATGGACAGCCCATCAACCTCAGGCTTATGAAAGCAAGATGATCAAAAGGTCCCCCGGTTAATCAGCTGTTTAAGTTGTCAAAGCTTTGTGAGCATTCTCCCAGAGTCAGAGCGGTGACGTCAGCATACACGGCCAACAAACCATTAGGAAACCCATTTGCCACATGGACAGCCCAACAAGTTCAAATTTGAGAAGCGAGACCAACCTTCAACGTGTTGACATATTGCCTGGGCTGCCAATGTTGCCACTTCTGAGTGACAGGATCTCTGGAAACCGGTATGATGACGTCAGCAACCTGTCAACCTGACACAGGGGGCCCACTTTATCTAAGCTCAGCACACACTCTCTTCCGTAGGAAACCGCTGATCGTCGTATGACTGTCCTGGACTCAACTCCAAGGACCAAGGGAGAGTGGCGTTGAGGACTCCTACCTGAGGGCATGGTGTCGTTCTCCTCACTGCGGGTTCGTCAATGATGCGGCAGACTGTGAAGTACTCGCGGAGCGAGTCGTCTGAGTCCTCAAAGTCCTCTAAGAAGTCAAGAGGTGGCTCGGGCTCGCCCCAATCCTCAGCTGACTCGGAAGATGGACTCCCACGTGCAAGCGCATCAGCTGGGGAGCTGCTGGTAACGCCAGTGCCCGCACCCCTGGTCCAATTGACCCCCGCCCCACCTCCAGTCCGACTGTCCCTTGCTTCTGGGCTCTGGCTCTGAGTAGGAGCTCTCTCAGTGGTTTGAAGCTCCCCTTCCCGCCTTTGCCTCTCCTTGCCGATTCCTGCGTTGTCCATTGCCACGTTCATAACAGCATAAGCGACCACGGGGGCAATTTGATCTTGAGTGGAGTCGTCGATCATGTCCCGGTCTTCAGAGGTCTCTTCGTCTTCAGGCTCTTCAACCCGATTGTATTCCACATCCTCTATGTCCTCCCCCTCCGTCCCCTCTGCTTCTTCTGCCTCCTGTGTAGTGAGATTAGCAAATGTCAGCAGGTGATATCATAAAATCGGACCTTCATTTGATGACGTCAAGCAATACAGCATGTCAGGTGAAAGTTCAAAACAGACCTTGGTGTGATGACGTCAGCAAAACTCAACAGCCGGAGTTTTAGTCTAGACCTTGGACACTTGGACAGATGCCTACAGCATGTCAGGTGATAGTTCAGAACGACCTTGGTGTGATGACGTCAGCAAAACTCAAAAGCCGGAGTTTTAGTCCAAAACATTGGACACTAAGACAGATGCCTGCAACCTGGCCGTGTGACTACGTCAGCAAACCCCAGCAGTTGAAGTGTTACTTCAGACCTTGGACACTTAGGACAGATTGTCCACCGTCAGAACTGATGAATTCGACCTGCAGAGCAGATTGATCTAGCTACAAACACTGTGCGGATTAACGTAGTGAGAATGATAGCATGAATCCTACCTGACGAGAGAACTCTGCCTGCGATGCAGCAAGGGGGGGAGATGGAGTGGAACTCCTCAGCGCAGGGGCATCGGCTGGGGGGGTGCTAGAGTGTTCTTGTGAATCCTCTGCTTGGGCAGAGGGTGCATCTTGATTTGATACCCCAGGTGATGGGGGTGCCCCGCCTGCACCCCTGTTCTGAGCACCCCCCTCGCCGTCCTGTGCTCCTTGCCTGCGGCTCCGAGGAGGGGATACACTTGGAGATGAGATGACACGGGCGTGTCTCTGATGGGGACCAAAGTTCCTTTGCCGCTTGCGCCTCTTTGCAAAAAGCGCCTTGAATTCTGTATCGGATCCGTCGTCCATTGCTGCGGCACCCGAGGCAGTTGACTCTTCAGGAGTGGATAAAAGCTCGGACATCTGCAGCCGGAAGTATGCACTCGGTCAGATTGACGGCTTGTCCAAGTGTCCAAGGTCTGGCGAAACGATTGTGTGGGCTGCGATTGCTGACGTCATCAGCGAGATGTTTGGCTTAACAGCTTGGGCATTAAGGACCGTATGCCAACTAGGCTTTCAATGAACTCTGTGGATGTAAGTGGACAAGAACCGCCCATGTAGCGACAGTTGCCAGCACTTAAAAACGCATAGTGAGAGCTGTCGACTAGCTTTCAAATCAAGCATACCATCAATACTGAGCAGCAGCGAAAAATAGATTAGATGCGCAACGTGTGCGCAAAAAACAGCCAAACAGTTGAGTGCGCTTACCTGCCAACTTGTGCAGTGTGCGCTGAGGCCGGGTGAAAAGCCTAAGGAGCTGGTTCAGAGACAACTTTGTGATAGCTCGCTGCTTGTGCTAGATGGGAAGCTTCACCAGCTGTTCTGCAAGTATAGTACGACGCATTGAGTCCAGGACATCCTATTATTGACAGTAAGAGTGGTACAGGTCTGGTGAAAATTTATGCACTGTGGAGACACCATGTTGGATACCTTTCCTTTTTATCAGTAACAGAGTGTGATGCAAATGACCTGACGTCTTAACGCGCAGCAACCCCGGCATTGCAAAATGACATTCAACACTAGATACCGTATCTGCTGACTTGCAAGCGTTCGCTTTTTGGTTTGCAAGCGGTCAGCTGCAAGGGATTGATGACATCAGCAAGCCCAACGGCACGGTTTTTTAGCCTAGAGCTTGCTTGGACAACTCGGACAGATCATGCCCGAGTCGACGAAGTCGGCTATGAGGGATTCCTGCTGTCAGCAAGCCCCGCGAGCTTGGACAGCTTTGGACACTTCCTACTCGAGTTCAAGCAATCAGCAAGAGCAAAAATTCCAGCTCAAGTTTAAGCCATCAGCAAGGAACGGTGAAGCCACCAGGTTAAACGCCCCATCTTCACCTGGCAGGCAGCAGGCTGTTTGTGCTGGCTAACAAGAGCTCAGCGGCTGGTCTCATCCCATCTTCTGCAGCTCTTTTCCCAAGCCTCACCACCTCCGATTTAACCGATGCTGAACTGAAGGCCTGTAACTAGCCTGCAAAAGAGGGTTTCGGCAGCTATGTTGCGCAAACCCTGAGGCTATCTCCAGCAATGAATGAAGGAATTGGCGGCACAGTGCTGGTGTGAGCAGCCGCCTTTTTTGCTTCAAGGAACTAGGATATAATTCAGATCGATGACTGCGCCCCGCAGACAGGCAGACTGGCAACTCTTCATGGCAACCAACTCTTCATGGCAACCAAACTATCCTCTATCTAGGTCTGCTGCCATCTGGCTTTGATTGGGTACCCTGAATCAGCACACACGCTAGCGTCAAACATATAGAGGAGTGGATGTAAACAGGAGATTAAAGTAGGCTGAAGATTCCCCTATCATCACGATTCAGGACTTGCCTGCAAAAGCTCGGAGTCCCGCTTCTTTAGATCTGCTCTTCGTCTGTGCTGCAGCCTGAGAATTCGACTTGCATGGCTCACAAAGACTTGCCGAGTTTTCAAGGTCTGCTCGAGCCTGTTTCTATTTGTCAACGGCGGGCGATCGCTTGCTACTTTTATACTAGAATTGGGCGCTTGCTCGCAAGTATGGGCTGTTTTGCTCGGTGTTAGTTGCGCTGCCTGGGCTATGCTGGAATGGAAATGAGAAATTCGATTTGACAATCTGGAATTTATAGCCCTCCATCTGAGCTTTCGGACTGATCACATCGGCCCGCAGAGTATAGCGGGCCGCAGAGGGCCCCGTACTACCGTAGTCCAAGCTAATGATTCCGAATGAATAAATAATTATTTGCATTCGCAAAGTCAGAAATTCAGGTTTCCCGTTCGGAAAGTGGAGATTCGGAAAGATCAAATTATTCTGAAATAGGCTTCGGAAGGCCAAAAACTGCTCAAATCAGCCCTAAAATGCGTCTTCAAGTATGAACATAGGGCATTCACATTCTGGTCGGAATCCGCATAAGTAATTCCGCATTCCTGGTCGGATTGTCGGAAATTATTACTTGGAAAATCCGTTCGGAATGATCACGTTGGACTACGGTACGTAGCGGGCCGGGCCGTAGCGGGCCGCAGCTGGCTGGGCTCCGGACCGAAATTGAGCGGGCAAGCGCCACGTATATGCGAAAGGTGACACGTATATGACAACTGCACATACCAACCCGGTCGGGGCAAACTTTGGGCGGGTTTTCCAAGCCACCGTTCGGTCCGGAAGGGGGGACACGTGGCGCAAGGAGATTGGAGGTTTTATGCCATATTTCAGATGTAGATACGCAGGAACTTTACTCCAGCTAACTCTGCTCCAGCTAACTCCTGGCCGATTTCTTGAGCCAGCGTGGCAATACTTTAACAGTACCCCGGGCAGGGGTTGCACCGAGTCACACTTACTGAGCACAGAGAAGTCTGCGTACCGAGTGCTCCTGTCGCCGATGAGCCAGAGGGGTTAAGGCTTGGTTAGGGAGTTGAAGCAGCTGTCTACAGTATATCATGTGAAGGACGGGATGTTGATACTAACCATGTGTACCTTTATCATGTCGATCTTGCTCGCGCTCGAGCCTCGGGGTCTTCCATTTCATCCCCGGTGATTTGGAGTCTCGTCGGGTCTAAGAACTGGGACCTTAAAGGATCCAACTGGGCAGTGGAGTGTGCCCAGGCCAGGTAGGACTGCTCGGCAGTAGGTACGGTACCCCGATACCGTGGCTCTACGGTAGTCTGTGCAACGCAAGTCAAGTGTTGGGACACTGAACCGGAAAAGTGGCACGGTTGGTCCGGCCAGGCTCATGTCTGGCCCCCGGGTACCTACCCCTAAGGTTTGACTGCTGACCGCAAACCCAATTGCAAGAAAGCATATTGCCACGCTGGCTTACTTCTGTCCACGTCGGACCTTTGAAATCGGGCCGGAGTTAGCTGGATCGGACTTGGCTGGAGTAAAGTTCCCGAGTATAGATGTAGATGGTTAGACGGGGAAGCTCTGCAAGCAAGTTCGTTGTCAGAGGCATA